AACCAACACGAACATAAATTCATACCAAGGCTTGCTGCGGCAATGGGATCACGATCGAACTTCTCGAAAACCTGGTCCACGGAGCAACCGAGTTCTTCCTCCAAAATACTCACGGCGACTTCCGACTCAAAAGGAGGAACTTGATCCTGCGATCGACGGTGTCATTGATCCAAAAGTGAGAATTCACAGTAGAGAACCTGAAGCTCAGCGAGTTCGTCGACGTATTCTTTCGGAAGAATGTCGCTTCGCGTGGAAAACTGTTGTCCAATCTTGATGAAAGTCGGTCCCAATCTCAGCAGTCCTTCCTTTAGCCATTTCGCAAGACGCTTTCGTCTTTCCATCTTTTTTTCCTCCGTTATCCCTCCTGAGGAAAATTATAAACACTACTTCTTCCCAATGCGAGTTCTGGAACTATAAAAATCCCACCTTTGTACATGAACTTCCGCCCAAGGAGCCACTGCTTGAAAAGAAACGAGAAAACGAAGGCCCATATCTCCAATGATCTTTGCAAAGTCGAATAAGCTTTGAAGCGATTCCATCGGCCACCGGGAGTGACTGAAACCTTCATCGGATAAGAACAGTATAAACCTCAACAAATGAATGGCTACAAAAATCAGATTTTGTTACCTTGACATTGTCTTGAATTTCCTTTCGAAACCAAGGCTCGTCTTGCTCAAGCTCCTCCTCAAGAACACTGGTGGATTTAAATTCCTCGAGCTCGCGAACCGCCATCGTTGCTACTGCTACTCCATTGCCGCTAACTTCACCATCCAATCCACTCGCCATTTCTTTCTCTCTGCGTGAAGAACTCGCGCCATTAGCCACATTCTCCCTCCGAGTCTCATCATCCTCGAGCTCCAGCGTCAAAACGCTTCCATTTCCATGATCTCTCGTCACTCCCGTGAAAGCCAGCTGACCCCTCTTGAGATTTCTCCGGTAGAGCTGGTGATGCATGTCCCCAAATCCCACTGCCCACAATCTCTTTCTCGGCGGTGGAGATGGTCTCACCAGTGACGCCATCGCCCCAGCTTCCCAAGAACACGAGGAGCTACACACGGAAGCCATAGCCATCTCCCGTGTGAAGCTCTCTTTTGCCCTCGCTATAGCAGCTTTTGGAGAGAATTCCCACTGCCAATGAGCTACTGCCAAGTGTCTGGCTCAAAATCCCCCACCATTCCGCATTTTTGCCCTAAAAATCCAAGATCATCGATGCCGCGAGCACATATTCGCGATCAAGAGATAGGGCGCCGGCGCTGCCGGATCCAATCGCGCTACATTCTCCGCGGCTTGAGCCCCGCGCTGGAGATTATTTATGCTCGTGCAAGCGCCCAGCAGTGATTTCCAGTCCGGCGCGCCCGGATTGAATGGCATGGCGATCAAGAGCTCGCGAGCGTCGTCCAGGCGCCCGGATCTTCCCAGCAAACCCACCATCGCGTTGAATGCCTGCTTGCTGGGCGCCGCGTGGAAATCCACTGCCATGGAGCGAAAGAGAGAGATGCCCGAATCTAGGTCGCCGCTGTGGGTGTGGCCGACGAGAAGGCAAACGAACGCCGGCTCTCGTGGTTCGATTCCCTCCACCGCCATTTTGGTGAAGACTAGCCGGGCATGTTCTTCTTGCCCATTGTAGGCAAATGCCGCGACTAGAACATCCCAGGAGGTTTGATCCCACTGCGGCAATTTAGAGAAGAATCGATCAGTGTCATCGAGACGGCCATTCCGCGAGATCGCCGCTAGCATCGCGTTCCAGGACGCGAGATCTCGCCAGGGCAACCAATCGAAGAGAAATTTCGCTCGTCCTAAATGCCCAACCTGGGCATATGCTGTGAAGAGGATTGTTCTCGAGATCAGGTCTGGAAAGGGCATTGAGAAGAACAAGCCTTCTACTTCCTCAATGTGACCTTTCATGGAATATGCCATTAGAATGGTGTTCCAGGAAATGGAATCCTTCTCACGCATGGCATCGAAGATGCTTCTTGTTTCTTCCAGATTCCCTTTCTCGGCATAGCTTGAGAGCATCGCGTTCCAAGTTCCAAGTCCCCTCTCGGGCATCGAATCGAAGAGCTTTGTGGCTTCTTCGATTTGATTGTTGCTAGCGAAAGCATCGATCATCGCCGTGAAGGAAATCACGTCCTTCTCCGGCATTCGATTGAAGAACCCTTTTGCTCGATCAAAATCCCCGCTCTTGGCATACGCCGCTAGCATCGCATTCCACGAGACGCGATCGTGCCTTTGCATCGATTCGCGAAAGATCCTCTCGGCGTTTTCTACGTCCCCTGCGGCGCCTAGCGCTGACATGATCGTGTTCTCAGACGCAATGTTGTGCTCGGGCATGAATTTCTGGAAGATCCTCATCGTTTCCATCAAATCGCCCCTGGAAGCATACGCCGCGAGGAGCGCGTTCCACGAGACAATGTCTCGCTGGGGCATGGAATCAAACACCCTCTTCGCGTTTTCCAGGCGATCACAGTGAGCAATCGCCGAGAGAAATCCATTCCAGGAGATAGAATCCCACTCGGGCATCTGGTAGATCCAGAGAGTCTCTAGATCCGCGACGCAATCCCTCGCTAGGGCAGAGATGAGACACCCCCAAGAGGTGAGATCTCTAAGAGGCATCTCTTCAAACGTTCTCCTGGCCTGGAGAATATGCCCAGAGTGGGCATATGCCGAGATCATCGCGTTCCACGAAACAAGGTCCTTCTCGGGCATCTGGGAGAATATCCCCTCGGCGAGTGGGATATGCCCTCTCCGGGCATACATGGTCAGCACCGACGTCCACGTCATCAAGTTCCTCTCGGGCATTGCGTCGAAAATATTCCAAGCATCGCCGAGGGATCCCTGGTGGGCATATGCGGCCAGGATGGAATTCCACGCGACGATGTTCTTGGTGGGCATGGCGTCGAATATGCCGCGGGCCTCGTGGATATGCCCGTTTTGGGCATATGCCGAGAGCATCATCACCCAGGAGAACTCATCCTTGTTCGCAATGGAATCAAAGAGAGAAATCGCATCTTCGATGCTACCGCATTTGCCATAAGCTTCAATGAGGAGGTTGGAGAGGTAAGTGCTGCTGTGGTTGTGGGATTTGCCAACAATTTGGAAAATTTTAGATTGGGCAAACTTGATCTGTGGCTTTGTCTTGCAAGACCGGATGAGCTCCACACACTGGTGAAAATTGCCTTCCATAGGTGATCAAAACTAAATATCAAAATCAAATCGAATAAACATTGATTGGGTTGGAAAGTGGATCTGTTTGAAACATTCTTGCTGTGACGCAACCGCGGCCACATTGGACATTATTTTGCCACTTGGGACACATGTTTGCCAACTGTTTCTTAAAAAAAAAACATTTATTTGCATGAGCACCGCGTATATCAAATTTTCTCTTACGTGTTTTCGCTCAATGGCAAATTCACATGAAAATACATTCATCCAAAACGTTGGCCCAGTCGAAGCTGGCTGGCGGACTTTGGAAGTCAACTAAAAAAATAAAACGAGGCAAAAAAGAGAATTAGGGTTTGTAGGGTGGGGCGTGGATTATTAGCGCTAAGCAAGGTGGGGTTAATTAGCGTACCCTTTACAACACCAAAATACCCACAAACTCACCCCATTTCATTCCATTCGTTCGTTCACGCCATTTCCTCCTCTTCGCGCTCGCGCCCGCCGCTCGGATCGCCCGCCGCCGCATCGCCGCTACCATCGCCGCCCGCTGCCTCGCTTCTCCCCCGCCGGCGCACACACACACGGCGCGAGCGCTGCGCTTCCAGGTATGGTTTCTCCAAACGCTCCCCTTCCCAGGGCACGAATTTCCAGAGCGTGTGAGAATGTTGGATCTAGGATGGAATGTGTAGCTAGGCCATGCCTTGTGGGGTTTTGACTGCAGCAAGATTGATGATGGATAGAGCTTGCGTTGCGTGCTTGCGCTTGATTAGATTCTCTCTTTTCTTTGGTTCTTTTTTGGTGTTTTGGTTTGTTCTTTGTGTGTCTTGTTCTTCGCTTCTTCTCCTCTTTGTGTCCTTGGATGAATCGATGCTGCGCTGCTGCCCCCATTCTCTCCAGCGCTTTGCGCGAGAGGTTCTCGCGTTTTCTTTGTTAGGTCACGAGCGTGCATGCCTTATCTCTCTTTGCTGGGCTACTGGGTCGTGATTTCGTGCGTCCATAGCAGCGTTGAATGGCTCGATAACAGTGCTTGCGCTGTGCTTATGCCGGCGATTTCATGGCTTGTAACGTAGTCTACATGCTCTCTTTCTTTACGACCGTGCTTTATTAGCAAGTGTTATTTCTTTTTAATCATCTCTGCTTTGGTAGTTCTTCTTTCTCAGTATTTGCAAGGTTTGTTTTTCTTGCAGCTTTGTGGTACTCTTTTGTTCGTGAGTGTGTAGCTTTGCTCTCACTAGAGGCCCCTTTTTTTCTTCCAGGAGTTGTGCATACGATGAACTAATGCGTTTTTTATTTTTATTCCAGGAGTTGTGCATGAATGGACGATGAACTAAAGATGGAGCCTTGTACGTTTGACGACTCGGAGTCGTCTGGCTCGGGCTCCGGCTCGGGGTCTGACGACGACGATTGCACTCCGAGGATTGGAAGCGACTTCCAGGTGGACGAGCTCCCTCGCTGCACACACGACTTCTTTGCGGCTGAGAATGGGAACCACGTCACGGTGTTTTCGGCTGACGAGGAAGAGCTCGCGTTTGCTCTTGGAGGGATGGCGATTCCGATAACCAGCATCCGCATGAACAACGAGAAGAAGCAGGATCTCGGTCGGGACTGCGATGATCAAAACGAGGGCGAGCTGCCGGAGGATAAAAACGGGGGTGGTGATGGAAGGAGACGGAAAGGGAAGAAGAAGAGGAAAGGGAACTGGCTTACGTTTCGGAGAATGCGAGCCAAGAGCAGCCTCAGCGAGATGGAAGATGTTATAGTTCCGGGGGATGGCTTTGATGCGTGGGAGGAGAACGAGGAGGCTGCGTTCCTGCTGGGACTCTATCTCTTCGGGAAGGACTTCAACGCTTTGAAGAGATTCCTGGAGACGAGAATGCTCACGGACCTTCAGCACTACTATTACAGCATCTTTTACGGGACTCCGGCCTACAAGAGATGGGTGGCAGCACGAAACAACTGCAGCAAGAGAATCGTGAATGGTCGACACATTTTGGTTGGGCGGCGTCAGGAAGAACTTCTACGACGGCTTCTTCCAGAAGTCGAGGAGTGCTCAAGACCGGAACTATTCGAGGTAACTTTGTTTGTCGAGTTTTTCTTTCTCGATGCCATAACACCAAGCTTTTCCTCCCCAGACTATGGCTGGATTCAACAAAGGCGAGGTTTCTTTCGAGAGGTACGTGTCTCGGATAAAAGACATAGCAGGACTGGAGCTGTTCGTCGACTCGGTTGGCCTGGGGTGTGGGAAACGGGACTTGACGATGGGAAGTGTGGATTCAGTCCAGGCCACCAAGAAGTTCGAGTTACCTCCAGGCAAAGCTTTCTCGGACTACACAGGGACGGAAATGTTTAGAGCTCTCTCGGGTGGCTGCCGGTTGAGCAAGAGCCGAGCACAGGACTTGTTCTGGGAAGGAGTGTGGCCTCGGCTGCTTGCTAAGGACTGGAGCTCGGAACAAAGCGGGAAAGGGCCGCTAGTTTACATGGTCCCAGGCATCAAGCGCTACTCGAAACGCTCCTTGATCAAAGGCAAAGATTACTTCGACTCGATCAGCGAGGTGTTGAATCACGTAGCCACTGATGCGAGCTTTCTGGAACTTCCGGAGCTGGACAACGAGTTGATGGCCAAGAGCCAGAGCGAGATAAATAACAAGAGGGGTGTGAGCAGCAGCAGCAAAATGGACGATATCAACACTAATGGAGTCGTCAGCGAGCGCAAACGCAGGCCGACACTGTGGCTGAGCAAAGGAACGTCTCATGCTTTCGCGAAAGGTGACGACCAAGGTGACGAGGACAAGGACGGCGAGGCCCCGAAAGAGAAGAAAGTTGACACGCCAAAGGAGAAGAAGGACGAACCGGCTGCCGAGAGAGACGACGATGGTGGCTTGATCACAACTTTCCTGGCGCTTCCAAAGCAGCTGCAGCAGCTCGAAGTGAATTGTCGGACTGGAAACACCGACGCCGGCGATCCGGAGCAGGGCAAGAACAGCGAAAGTAGAAGCGAATCGACGAGCGAGACGATGACAACCACGACCACGGCGACACTCGTGTGTTTTCGTCGGCACCTCGGTTTGATCTTAAGGCTCCGGCGGGTTCGTCCTGCGACTCTACCAGGTCCTCGATCGAAGAACAGACTTTAACGAGATGGAGGAGCGATTATCAGCACGTACTGCCGTCGAGAAAGAGAAGCTACGATATCTTCTCGGAGAGGATCAACAGCGCATCGAGCTTGCAGCTCCAAGGTGGAGTAGCAGCGGCGGTTGGCTTCTCGGCTCAACCAACGAGAACGAAGACTTTCTTCCTCGACAATATGATCAAGCACTACCTCGGCAACGGCAAGAGCGTGCGCTTATACGGACCAAGCACGAAGTTAGCTCGAGCCAACGTCGCGGAAGCTCTTTACAAACGGTTTCAGGTGGCCTTCTACAGGAAGGAGATCATGAGCTTGGTGCTCGCAGTTCACCTCGACTGGCAGCAAAAGATGGCAAAGAGTATAGCGGACAACAGCGTCGACGAGCGAGACAGTCGCAAAAGTTCGAGCAAAGAAGAGCTCAAGCTCTACGAGCTCCCGGAAGCAGCGGCGGCGGGACAGGCCTCGTCGATTGCATCGTCGGTGTCGTCTCAAGCACCACCATGCTGCTGCGTCCCGGGAGGATCCGTCGACAAGAACTTAAGCAGGATAGAGACCGAGGAGATGATCCAGGAAGACGATGGAGATAAGGATGGATTCCAGCGAAAGCTCGTTGGAAGCAGCTGCTTGCGGTGCTCGTCAAGAGTGCAAGCTGGTGGTACGTAGTCGAGTGCTTGGTATTTTAGAGTAGAGAACAAAAAAAAATTCCTCTCCATCCCATTTGTACTTTAGAAATAGGCATAGACACGAGAAGAAGCAGCAAATTGTTGTGCTGCGACTTTGATTGCTCTTAATTTGAACTGCAAAAATCATTCTTTTCTTCTTTATCGCTGTGAAACGATGGTGGTCATACCTGTACAACATAGATCTCTCCAAGCCCGGGCAATCGAGAGCATGAAGTAACCAAGTTCTTCACTTCTTCACTGGACGTTGGACGTAAGACTTGTTTGGATCCTCGGTCTTTAGCTTCGGTGGCTTCAGCTGTCCCTTCGACTGCAAAAAGTCAGTGTAACAAAGGTAGAATCAAGGCTTTGGCGATTACCTTCTTGCCTCCTTTCATAAAGTCTCTCCAGTTACTAACCTGGCAAGCAAGCAAACGATCAGATTCACACGACGAAAAGAGGTACTTACTCTATTCTCTCGCGTTTCTTCCCATTGTTGTTCGTCTTCTCGCTTGCGCTTCCACATCTCCCTAGCTTCCTCTTCCTCTTTTTTCAGTCTACCTTCTTCTTCCGATATCTGGATGAATCCAGCAGATGGTCAAAACAATGCGAATCAAGGTAGAGATTGCAGCTCACCCGCATTTGCATCTTCCGCCGCCGCCACTCCTGATCGGTCAGGATTGTGCGTACCCGCAGTTTCCAGTTTTGTTTGAACTCTTCAGAGTCCTCGTACATTGTCTCGTACTTGCTCTGGAGAGAAATGAATGAAAAAAGAGAAACACGACCTTTTGTGATGGTTGCATACCTCGTCGACCATCGACCTGAGTTTGGAAGCATTGTCCTTCTTTAGATGCTTCTTTCGCTCGTTTCTCAACTCATCTATAGAGACCACAACGTTAAAATGAAGAACACAGAGAAGATCCTACGTACCCCTTGCCATGTTTATTTGAGCCACGAGATAGTCTCGCTCTTGAGGATCCAGCAAGAGTTGCTGAGCTTTGGCCAAAGCTAGATCACATCAAACAAACAAAAAGTAGATGGAACACCATATGCGAAATGGAAAGAACACAACAGCTTACCAGCGAATGCCTCCTTGGATTTTGGATGCTTACACTTATCCGGATGCACTAAAAGAGAAAGCTGTCAAAAATGTGGGGCAAAACTTTCAGCTCTAAAATTTCGCAGCTCGATCGACTGGCTCTAACCTTCCTATACTGCCTCCGAATCTCCTCTAGCGTCGCATCCACTGGAAGATTGAGATGCTCGAAAGGATTGAGCTTAAAACACGATAGAACCCTGGAAATTCCAATCCCATTCACTCAAAATCCAGTTTTGCCGATCCATCGGAGCCTACTCTTACCGATTCACCTCGTTGTCACGCTCCACCTCGCTCACCTCCGCGAAGAACTCCTTGAGCAATGCGTCATCGGCATCCATGGCACTGCCCAGCCCTAAAAACTCAAAGCCGCGCTATCGCTTAACGCTGTTAAAGGAGTAAGCGGTATATTCCCTTTTCGCGTGGTTCTGCTAGGGTTCTTGCGCCTTTGGATCTGCGAGGGCGGAGAGCACCGCCGGCAATGGTAAATCTCTCTCGATCTCCCACCTCCATCAGCTGGATCTAACGAAATTCCTTGTTTTCCTTCGATGCGCAGCCTCTGTCCCTGGGAATCAAGGTACGTCGCGATGTTTTGTAGCTTTGCTGAGTCGATTTTCTCCAGCGCAAGCTTGCGCAACGATCAGAGCGCGTGAAATGTGTAGATCTCCATCCCACAGAGCCATGGTATGTAGCCATTAGACTAAGAGCGTGAATGATTTTCTATGCGTTCGCCAGGATCCTCGCGAGTCTCTACACTGGAAGCATCTACATTTGGAATCATCAAACACAGGGCGTGGTCAAAACATTCGAAGTCACAGAGCTACCAGGTAACTTTTGGAGTGGATTTCTCTAAGTCCCTCGAGAGTATTTTTCCAAGTCTGTGTTGCTCCATCTCGATTTTTCTAAGTTTCTCTCTAAACCATTGTGTGATCTCTTGCTTGTAGTCCGCTCGGCCAAGTTCATATCGCGAAAGCAGTGGATAGTCGCTGGTGCCGACGACATGTACATTCGAGTCTACAACTACAATACCATGGACAAGGTCAAGTCGTTTGAAGCGCACACGGACTACATCAGGTGCGTCGTCGTCCATCCGACACTTCCCTGCGTTTTGTCATCCTCGGATGACATGCTCATCAAGCTCTGGGACTGGGAGAAGGGGTGGACGTGTATCCAGATCTTCGAAGGCCACTCCCACTACGTGATGCAAGTCGCTCTCAACCCAAAGGATACTAACACCTTCGCCAGTGCCTCTTTGGATCGGACCATCAAGGTGCGTTCGTCGTTTAGAGGTGATTGTTTGACTTTTCTTCTTGTGCTTGTAGATATGGAACCTCGGATCTCCGGAGCCAAACTTCACACTGGATGCTCATGTTAAGGGCGTAAACTGTGTGGAGTATTTCACCGGCGGTGACAGGCCGTATCTTATCACGGGATCGGATGATCAAACAGCTAAAGTTTGGGACTACCAGACTAAGGCTTGCGTTCAGACGCTCGAGGGACATACGCATAATGTTTCCGCCGTGTGCTTTCACCCCGAGCTGCCAATTATCATCACGGGATCAGAGGACGGCACGGTGCGGATCTGGCATACTACAACTTACAGGTGACTGGCGCGTTAAGCGTAACACACTTACCCCAACGTTTCCATTTTACAGACTTGAAAACACATTGAACTATGGGCTTGAACGTGTCTGGATGATTGGCTACTTAAAGGGATCAAACAGGTAAAGATCTGTGGTGTTTTTGTTCATGCGCATAACCGATTTAAAACTTCCAGGGTGGCTATTGCGTACGATGAAGGAACCATAATGATCAAAATTGGAAAGGAGGAACCTGTAGCCAGTATGGACAGCAGCGGGAAGATAATCTGGGCTAAGCATAACGAGATTCAAACTGTAAATATAAGAGCCGTACCGACAGATTTTGAGGTGGTTGATGGAGAACGTTTGCCTTTAGCGGTCAAAGAGCTTGGTAGCTGTGATCTGTACCCACAAGTAAGTAGTTCTCTCTCTTTTTTTTCTGGGTATCGGACATTTTCTGATATAATATGTGCAGAGCCTGAAACATAACCCAAATGGAAGATTTGTGGTGGTTTGTGGTGATGGGGAATATACAATTTACACCCCTGTTGCCTGGAGAAACAAGTCATTTGGATCTGCTCTTGAGTTCGTTTGGTCACAAGAAGGGGACTCTGCTGTGAGGGAGAGCACTTCCAAGATCAAGGTCTTCAATAAAGCGTTTCAGGTGGGTCGAATAACATTTTGACGTGTATGATATATAATTTTTGTTTAACAGGAGAAAAAGAGCATGCGACCAGCCTTTTCAGCTGAAGGAATTTACGGTGGATGTCTTTTAGGAGTTCGCTCGAATGACTTCGTTTGCTTCTACGACTGGGCCGAATGCCGAATGATTCGTAGAATTGACGTTACAGTGAAGGTGTTTATTTGTTTCTTTGTTTTATTTCTTTCTTTCTCTCTTTTGTAATGCCTCACAATGTTTTCGAATTTTGCAGAACATCTTTTGGGCTGACAGCGGGGATCTGGTTGCAATTACAAGCGAAAAATCCTTCTACATCTTGAAATACAACGTTAGTTTCGAAAATCTCTATAAATTTATGCTTACTGTTGTTTGGATGCAGCATGATATTGTTTCCGAGTACCTTGACAGCGGGAAGCAGATTGACGAGCAAGGAGTCGAGGACGCATTTGAACTTTTGCATGAGATATCCGAGCGCGTGAGAACTGGCTTATGGGTAGGCGATTGTTTCATTTACAACAACTCGTCATGGAGACTGAACTACTGCGTTGGAGGAGAGGTCTGCTTCTGTGTTGTCGTTTATATTTGTTTCACACATCCTCTTCCAGGTAACTACTATGTATCACCTGGACAAGCCAATGTATTTGCTTGGCTATCTGGCAAATCAAAGCCGAGTGTATCTGATCGACAAGGAGTTCAAGTAAGTGTTTTTTACTTTTCTGATCATGAACGATGGCTAATCCTCCTGTGAAATTACAGTATTGTCAGCTACACGCTGTTACTTGGCCTGATCGAGTACAAAACACTCGTTCTACGTGGAGATATTGAGCGAGCGCAGGAAGTCTTGCCAACCATTCCGAAGGAGCACTTAAACAGGTAAACTTTGGCTGGTACTTTTGCTAGTATAACACTCTCAATACTCCTATTCAGTGTTGCCCATTTCTTGGAGTCACGTGGTATGCTGGAGGACGCCCTTGAAGCGGCAACTGATCCGGATTATCGATTTGACCTTGCTGTGCAACTGGGCAAACTCGAAGTTGCAAAGGCATGTTACGCTCTGTTATTTTCTTTTGTCGAATATTGAGGTGGTTTATCTCAGGCAATCGCTGAGGAAGCTCAAAGCGACTCAAAGTGGAAGCAACTTGGCGAGCTAGCTATGTCTTCCGGAAAGGTGGGAGAGGTTTGATACTACATGATCTGAAAAACGTCTTTTGGCAGCTCGATGTAGCAGAAGAATGCTTAAAGCATGCGACCGACTTCAGTGGCTTGCTCCTCCTTTATTCCTCTCTGGGAGATAAGGAAGGTTTGGAGAGCTTGTCAAGCTTGGCCAAGGATCAAGGGAAGAACAACGTTGCTTTCGTCTGCTTGTTTCTCCTTGGGCGACTGGAGGACTGCGTTCAACTCCTAATTGACAGGTATGCAATCTTCCATTCATTTTCAACTTCATGGCTATGCTCGCAGCAACCGCATACCCGAAGCGGCATTCATGGCAAGAACATACTTGCCCAGTAAAGTAACCGAGATCGTAGGACTTTGGCGGAATGATTTGAAAAAGGTATCGCTACCAAAGTTGGCATCCTTCGTTTCATCCCGTCTTGTTCGTTGCAGGTCAATGCAAAAGCAGCAGAGTCTCTGGCCGACCCGACCGAGTACCCCAACTTGTTTCCAGACTGGGAGTGGGCATTGACCGCGGAAGCCAAATGCGCGCAGGAAAGGTGAGCTTTGCCAAGAGTTTTCGAGCCTCCGTAAAGTTCTACTTGTGCATACACAGGGCGGAGTTGCCACCTGCGAAGAGCTACCTGGAGTACC